GATATTGGGATTTTTGTTATTGCTGTTGTTTGAAGCAGGATCTCACTATATATTGCAGGCTGGCCTTAAACTTACTTATGTAGCCTAAGCCGGCCTTTAAACTCATGGAGGTCCTCCTGCCTCAGCCTCCTAAGTGCTAGGATTACAGGCGTGTGCCACCACACGCAGCAAGATATTGGAATTTTGATCACAAGATATTCATTTATTTGCTAATCACCTATGTTTGGAAGTCCCCATGAGGCAGAAGTCAGAGGTAATAGTGATCTGACTATGTGACTATTTTTTCAAAGTTATCCCTTAGTCAGTACCACTAACATGTAAACATATTTAAAAACAAGTGTTTCACGGACTTATACATATTCAGGATTTATATAAAACCACTGACAGGCCTGGCCTTGATAACTTTACATAACTGTCACTTTTGTCCTATGGCTGAGAGTTTCAAAACCAACTAATCAGTTCACCTGTACCTAAGTTTCTAATGGTTAGCATTTTGTACCAGTTAAGCCAGAAATTTGTTCATAACTTAGCTCTATTTCATGATTATAAATCCACATCCTAACCCTAGTCCACTGTCTTCCATTGGACAAGATAAAAGATGGTCAATAAAATGCAGTATTGAAGACTCCTGTCAGTTCCCTCCTGTCAGCATGAAATTTGAGGTCAGGGTTACAATTACACTACATGAAAGAGTGTAAGTTCAGCTTTCCTGCTTGTCTCACTTCTTCATCTACCACATACAGGCTTTAAAGTGACTCAAAATCACTCCAGTCAAGTAGACAGACCTAAAGAAAAAGTTTAGATACACCAAAAAGGAAATCTGCTCTGAGTAAAAATAAGGCAAATAACAGACATGATAGGACTGCTTCTACCTGCTTTCTTTTAACTGACCTGGGTCTACATAACATTACAAATGTAGGTAAGAAGAGACTGCTATAAATACCATAAAATATCTATATTTAAAATCTACTGTAATTATCCCATCATGTATGTCTCAGTAGAGAAGAAAGTCTTCAGGGTGTAAACATATGGGTGAAAAGCAAAAGTTACACCTTAAAGTAATGATTGTTTGTTTGTTTTTTTTTTGATGCCAGGAATTGAACTCAGGACCTTGCACTTTCCAGGCAGGCACTTGTGACACTGAGCTATATCCCTGGCCAAAAGTAATGATTTATTATCCTTCTCTTTCTCCTCAATGTTAAAGAAATATTCTAGGAGAGATAGCCGTTAGGTAGTATACCCATTGATTTGCTGCTATACCAAAAGTATTGTTATTCTCTTTACCTGCATAATTTAAAAAGGCATAGATAAGTAGAGCTGCTGTAGTCCTGGCTTTTCCTGCAGGATGAAGCAGGGCCTACTAAATCTGCTTCCCTGCATTTTAGTCAGCAAAGTGCATCTTTCTGTTTCCCCTGTTTACTTTACCACCGTGCAGCATGGACTGATTTGGCCCATCTTCACCAGTTGCCAGGGAAGAGAGTACGTTTTTCTTCAGGAAGCTTGAATCCTGTTCTATTTGAGGTTACAATTCGCACATATTTATGTAATACTGGCACAATAATAATAACTGGAGAAGCTCTACACTGGACACGTGAATGTGTAGAATATTATTGTACTTTAGCAAATATTTTAAAATTTGAATAAACATTTAAAAATAACTTGTTTCTATTAGAGCAATAAATTGACTTGTCCTGGACAGTCAAAAAATACAGCTTTTGGGGCCGGGGATTTAGCTCAGCGGCAAAAGCGCTTGCCTGGCAAGCGCAAGGTCGTGAGTTCGGTTCCCGGTACCGGAGAAAAACCAAAAAAAAAATACAGCTTTTAAGTGGATTTAATTATGCAGGCCAAAGCAGTTTCATATCATATTCTTCACATGGATGTCAGTAGGTGTGTGTATTTTAAGAAGATAGTTCAGTTAACTGTTTTAGAGGTAAAAATCCAAGAGATGTAAAACAACACAAAAGGTCATGTTTTTAAGCTTTTGATTACAATTACAGTACGCCTATAGACTAGAGAGCTAAAAAGGAGTGTTATATTTCACCATTAAGAAAAAAAAAACTAGAATCAGTGCTGAGTATTAATTTTTAAAACTATTGATCACTTATATATACAGTATATTACCTCTTTCCCTTTTCTCAGTGGCACTTGGCAAAAAATCATTTCATAATTAAAAAAATAAGTTGTATCAAAAAGTAATTCTGCAATTATAAATTTACCCATCTATCAGCAGCATCAAGGCCTATTAAGAACAGGTCCACACAGCAGGACGTGAGCAGCAGGCAATAAGAGAAACTTCATCTATATTTACAATGGCTCCCTGTCACTCAAACTATCACATGAGTCCTGGCCCCATCAGATCACGGACAGCATTAGATTCTTTTTCATTTTAAGTCTGTGTACTTTTCGAAAATCAATGTGTTTGCAACATATAAATACACTGATTCTGGGCAACTGATACATATGTGCATATCACATTTTTATCCTTTTTACTTCCCATTGGGTCACATCCCCAGGCCCTTCTTTAGTTTATATTTGGAAAGAGGGTCTCACTAAATTGTTAAATTACCCCAACTTGGCTCAAACTTATAATCCTTTTGCCTCAAGCTCCCAGAGTGCTAGGATTACAAGCAGGTGCCAGGGGTAGCCCAGCTTGTTTTCCCTAACCCTCTGACACCTACCCCTGGCTATGCAAAAACTGTCTTCCATGAAACCAGCCCCTGGTGCCAAAAGTTTGGCTACCACTGATCTACATAATAAATTTCTATTTTTTTTAAAAGAGTATTGGTATATTGGAGGGAACTGACAATGTGAAATAAAATAATTGTGGAAACTGGAAATCTATTTGATTTAATGAGGTTTTTAGTTATGTATGATAATGAATTGCATGTCTGTTTGCAAGCTTTGTAAAAGAATCAATAATTTCCTGCTAAAAGAATAGATTTTTAATGTTTTCATCACAAAATACTGGTAAGTTGGCTAGGTAAATATGTTAAGTAGCTTGATTGAATCTATAATGTATAAACAGATCAGAACATCCCACTGTCCTCTATAAACACACACAATTATTATTTGCTGATTTAGAACAATGGTTTGAAAATAAAATATTCTAAAATTTTAACATAAATTTCCATACGATTTACTCATTGTGCAAATAATATAGTGTGCATATGGCAAGAAATGAGAACTTCTAACGAAAAGGTTACAGTACAAAGTCATAGTTTGTTAAGAGCTGCCTGAATTAATTCCCTGCAGGTGACTTGCTTTCATCTTTAGTAGACTGACTGAAGGGAAACCTGCCATAGACAGGAATAATAAGAAACCAGCTAAACTTTTCAACAGTTTTTAAAGGTTGCATGTGTTTTAGCACAATGTATCATGCACCTCTCGGGCCTCTAAGGGTGGGCAGCACGGAATGGGATATAACACTCAAGGCTAGTAGAAGGGAAGGAGAGCTGGGAGAACCCCTTGAGGGATTGCAGGCACTGAGTATGAGGCAGCAGCTTCCCAAAGGCAGAGGGCAAGGCAGGAAGGAATCTCCTGAGACACAAAAACTAACACAGACACAATAGAATTGTTGTAAAAGAAAAGTAAGCCTTGTAAGTGGCCCTTGAGCTGGCCAAGTGCAGAAGAAGGGGATTCTGGAGGACAGCAGTGAGGTAGTAGATAACCATGAAAGCCCGCGGCTTGGCAGTGGACAAGGAAGTTGGCTAGGACTGTTAACAGAGCCTTACTTTTTCGAAAGAAATAGGTCACATATTTTGCCCCCAAGGAACATAATCCAAATACTGAACAGAACAGTATGGATTTTCTAATGGATGAACAAGTTAAGGGCTGGGGGAACTAAGGAATCATTCCAATTTGGTGATTTGGTGAAGTCTTCATAAAATGAACCGAGTTTTAAAGGTAGAGTAGGACAAGGGTATTCCGAGTTGAGAGAATCTGAATAGTGTCAGAAGAAGAATTAATCTCTGTGGCTGAGTGTGGGGAAGGAACATCAGCAGGGTAAAACGGAATGTGAGCCTGAGGAGAGCTAATAGCCATGGATTGCTAAAGCCTTGCATATCTGCTGGGAAGTTTGGTTTCATTTTGAAGACAATGGAAAGCCACCAATGAGTTCACTTGGGGAACATTTTATCTTTCCATAAAGTTTAGCAGCAATGATTAGAAGCAAAACCACCATTCCTGGTATCAGCACAGGTGAAAGCACAGCTCTTCACTGAGATGATACCACTAAGATTGGAAGGGGGAATCAAAATAGAAAATGCTACAAAGGCAAAATGAACATATCCTGTGGGTGGAGTTGATTCCGGCCTTAGCTGATTGAGGTAGTGATCGCATTACTCACAGTAGAATATGGGAGGAGGATTAGTGTTAGCAGTAGCTCACCCCAGAAACATCAATCCCTGCTTAGCTTTTATGACTTCCTCCTTTCCTTCTGCGAATTTCATTATAATGAATATATCTCACTTGCCACTGTCTCATCCGTGTGCTCTGGTGAGTTTCACTATTCAGCACACATGCAAAACAAGATGTCCTAACAAAAACTTAACTCCAGTGCTGACAATGGAAATGCCACTGTGGTACCAATCAAATTTAGAAGTTAATTTATCTAATTGGAAGAAAAGCAAATGTCCTCCTCTAATAAATAATCTTGAAGGCTGCTTATCTAAAGATAATGTCATATAGGTACCTCTTTCCCCATTATTGAAAAATCCATTATATCTGTGATGAAACAGATTTTGTTCAATTATATTAGATTCATATTCAAATAAAAAGTGGGTAATTAGCTAATACACTGTTCTAAGCGTAATGTAAGAAAAATAGACACACAGTCACTTAGGAAATCTACCAGTGTAAAATATAAAGCTAATTTGGGAGCCACCAGAGAATTTTGGTTAAGACTATTAAAAAAAATGTTATTTTTTTCCAGAAACGATTTCTTCACAAGTGTGTTTAGTCATCCTTTTGTTACTGTGACAAAATATCTGAGAAAAGCAATGTAATAGGAGGAAAAGTTTATTTTGGCACAAGCATTCATAGATCTCAGCCCATGGTCCCTTGGCACCACTGTTTCTGGGTCTGTGCAGAGGCTCAGCGTCATGGCAGACAGCATGGGGACAACACTTACTGTTCAAGAGTAAAACCCAATGACCCACTTCCTTCAGCAATGTCCTACCTCTCCCAATAGCACCACTAGCTGGGAAGCAAGCCTGGAACACTTGAGACTTGGGGGAACAACAAAAAGGTAAGTAAATTGTAATTTATAAGAAACACACTTTGCATTTCAGTTTGTGACACAGTGTGATATATTGAATCACTGTGCCCAATGCTTCACTCCTTTCCTGTGTAAATACTGTCCATGGCTTTTGCGATATGACTTTGCCATTCCTCTTGGCGTTTCTCTAACTTGCTGATATTGGTTGTATGCTTTATTTTGGTCCAAAGAAAGTGAGTAGAAGTGACAAGGGGCCTGTCCTGTCCAAGACCTTATGAGATATCCTAGATTCCTTTCACGCTCATTAGCCCCTGAAATCATCAGGAGAACGTGCCCCATGAAGCCAATGGACAAGGAGGATGAGAGATGGATGTAACAGGACCGATGCAGGCTTACCACCTGAAGTAGAGTTGCCTAGCTGACTTGCAAACCCATAAACATGTTTACTGTGGTAAGCCACCCAAACTTTGAAGTTATAAAAAATAAAAACACCAACTGAAAGAAACATATAGTTCCTGAATGCAGCTAACTATGAGCAACAGTCATGTTCCAACAGAATAGCAACTATTTGAATTTAGAGGAACCAGACCAACTAAACTGAAAATAAATGGGAACGTATTTTAAAAGTAATTTTATTCTTATATGAGCTATTAAAAGGCTGATCTCTAACATTCAAATTCACATTTTGAGAAATGCAAGTATCAAGAATTATCTTTGAGTCTTGGGAAAATTTCCGAAAGTCTCTCATTGGGTATCTTGACTCAAATAACAAGCATCTCTGTCTCCACAAGAAGGCAGCAAAATCTTAGAAATGAGGTGAAATTTTCAGTATCTGAAAAGCTCATTTAAGAATAATAGAAAACTTCCTCTGTAATGTAATACCAAGAATGTTATAGCATCTTTAGTTTTTAACCCTCCTACCCTTGAAGGGAAGGATACTAAAGTTTTATTGCCTTTTAAACTTTAAATATATATTTTTATGTATATGCTGCTTAATATGTTAGCTACTAGCCATGTGTAGTACTTGGATTGTGATTAGTCCTAGTGAAAATATCCTGTAAATATAACGTACACTATAGATTTTAATAATAAAAAGCTCAATAACTTTTATATTGAATATTAGTTGAAATGAAAATGTTTTATATTCAGTCACTCTTAAGCTTTCCTTGGTTTCAGTATAGCATCTGTTTTATGCAGGTATCCTGACATTAGTTGAAGTATTAGCAACATTAAAATGATGTATACTTTGAAAAATTTTTATTTATATCACATTTTATATTTATCACTGATTAAGAATTGAATGAATTGAAACTTTTCTCCTCTCTCCCTCCACCCGTTTCTCTGTCTCTTTCTCTCTCTCTCTTTCATACATACAGCCTAATTATGTAGCCTCATTCCTTTGTCTACACAAGTAACCACTGTGAACTCATAAAAAATAATTTTTTCCCACCTTATAAATAAATAAGTTTACCAGAACCAAGTTTTTAGTCCTGGGTGAAAGTTTCAGGATGACTAGTAATTAATTATAGCCAGCAGCCAATCCAATATTAAAATTAATTGATAGTGACCCATCTTATTCAGGTCCAACCAGACTGGCCCAAAGCAGATTCCTGCATCTGCCTCAAAACCAACCTTCCCTCCAGTAGAACTGACACTAGGTTGTGCCTACTGATTATCTCCATAATTTGAGGTTTCGACAAGTGGAGTTTGGCTCCCAAATTTCCAAAAGGGTTCATTTTAAACAGTGGCAAAAAGAAAGAAATAAGAAAAGATTTGTGTTCTTTGAAGGAAAGTTGTAAATTCCAATTCCAACTTCTTGAGGGAAAGTGTTTAGAAAAGAAAAAAGCAATACATGTGGGCCAGAAAATGTGGGTTTGAGTTTCAGCACTGCCACAGGCATCAGGAGTGCTAATAACTACATTTTTCAGACTGTTATGAGAATGAAATGAGGAAATAAACATAATGCACTTGAGAATAGAGCATGATGTGTCGCCCATGCTCAGTTAAGAGCAGCTATAATGATACAGCCAGTTGCCACCAAAAAGAGAGTCTGAACATACCAATTTGGCTTCTCGGCCCTAATCAAGGTCCAGCAAATTCAACTGTAGCAGAAAAGAAAAAAAGTTCTTGTCCACAGCTTTATTATGCTTATGTTCACCTGACTATTATTAAGTATAGCTAGACTGTTCAAGAGATAAAGGGAAATTTGGCATCTAGTTTGTGGAAGAGCTTTCCTTTTCTTATCAGTCCAGCAGTCAGTCTCCAGATCCACAGATGGATAGACAGCTTGGGCTAAGGTGAGAATAATACATCACCTCCCAATCCTGCTAAACAGGTAACTGTTAATCCTTTAAAGGCAAGAGGTATAGGGTCTCTTCATGTTTCTATGATAAGATCCATAGCCACTTCTTCTCTTATAGAATATTTTATGGGAAAAGTAAATAAAACCCATATTTGTGTGACAGAGGTGGCAACAACACTTACAGACTTGGTTCCTAGCATTTTGGTGTGTAAATACCATAACAGGGAAAAAGCACACTATTTAATATACTCTCACTAAAATTAAACTTGTGACAAGAAGATGCAGCATGGTTTTAAAACCTGATGTTTCATCTTTATGCTGCAGCTGATTAGCACACTTAGCTGATAGATGAAAGGTCTACGGTTTGAACATACCCAAGTATAGTCCTTTTTCCAGCCAACTTCTTGGTGATAAAATATGGAATCAAACTGTGATGATGTTTGCATAACATTGTAAATGTGCTAAATGCTGTGAATTGTACCAATTGAATGTTAACATGGTGAATTATATGTTATGTGTATGACAAAAACTCCAAAAGCATTGGAGGATGCATTTTTCCAAACTCAGGTTGTAACTATATTTATCTTCTTAACATGTATATACCTACCACATATTATGTCCTAATATCTGATGGCCCACAGTATACATCTGCTTTTTAAGAATCTCTAGGGGCTGGGGATTTAGCTCAGCAGAATAGTGCCTGCCTGGCAAGCGCGAGGTCGTGAGTTTGATTCCCGGTACTGGAAAAAAAAAATCTCTGGACTGTGTGTTGTTCTTGGTAGCATTTGGCATAACTCAGGAATATATAACTCATTCACATCCCTATATTAATGGGATTCAGAATTGTATTAACTGCATGAGCACATAGATTCCCTTATAAAACTCTTTGGTCTTAGCATGTATTTGCCTATTCTAAAAACAACTGTCTTACCCAAAGCATAGCCTTAGAATGGGATATGCATCTGGTCTCACCAAAGAATATGGCTTTCTTAATATATGTGAAGCAGGAGAGTGGAATTTTTAGAGTATGACTGAACCAGTTCCTCAGATTTTTCTGTTAATTAATTCAATTTCCCAGCACAGGACTCAGAATTCTCAGTTTTTCTAGACAAAGTCAATATTGTTCTTTTATAAAGCAAAAGTCATGAAAGGTGGCAAGTCTTTATGACTTACATGAGCACAGAGTACAACGGAAAAAGAAGGTAATCAGAAAGACTCACACAAGAGACCATGTCTGCCAGAAAATCCTTGAACCAGAAGGTGGTGAATATCTCCCAAGGGAAGTCTTCAGCAAAAGCCAAAGGAGTTTCACGCTGGTCAAGACTGGCTCTAGCAAGTAGGGAAGGAGGACCTTGGACACAGCTGTGCGGAGGAAAAGTGCTCCCTGGGCAATTTTTTTCCCCACTCCAGCAAGTAGACTTGAGTTGCTCCTGCTATACCATTTCTTTCCAGAAATATGAAGGATTTTTAAATATAACCAAGCCTATGATGATCGCTGCAACCAGTATCAGAGAGAAGAAGACCATGAGGAAGACATAGGTGGGATGGGAGAGAGGTGCAGTCAGTGGCTGCTCAGCTGGGATCTTGTTGGTCAGGTTCAGCATGTAGCCCAAAGTCCATCCAGTGCTGGTCCCCTTGACCTGCAAACAGAGATCAAGGGAAAAATCTGTTCTTTGCGGTCCAAGGAGGTAAACTGTAGTTTTCATGCAACTTCATTATAACACTGAGCAGCCAATAATTGGAGAGCACGCTTTGCAGTTATCTAAATTGATTAATTTTATATTGTATTCTGGGAACTTGCTTATGGAGAAAATAGCAGCAAGAGAATAGAAGACAGTCTGGAACCTCACTACTATATTCCTAAAAGTTCGGAAAGGAATTTGGTGAATGATTGCCCAATTCTCCTGGCTAGAAGGGCTTAACTCAAATAAACCATTGGAACTTTGTATTCTTATTTTCTTGTTTATATGAATGTGGGAGGTGAGGATGATGGATGAGGGGAGATGACAGGAAGCAGACAAAAGGATAAGGGCATGACAGTCTGGCCTTTAATATCTTGTCAGGCCAGGAAATGCACCCATATAAACCCAGGAAAAACTGGAGTTAATCTCAACAAATCAATCTTATTTCATAGAAGTTAGAAGACTATGTGTATGAACAAGGAAAGTTTCTTATTAAATAGTAAAAAACATGCTCTGACCCTCCCATCTTCCTAGGAATATTTTCCAGTCACCTCAGAACTTAATGGAATGTAGATGGTCTTTGAATAATATGAAATGTTTTTATTAGTTATCCATAGTCATAGTAGAAAGATTAGGAAGTACAGATAAGCCTAAAAAAATCAAAACCATCCATACTTAACCCAGAAACTGCTGCTATATTCATTTTGTGACATATTATTCCAGTTCTCTCTGAATACTTTTCTTACAAAAAGTGGAATGACACTTCTATAGAATAATTCATTTAACAATACCTTGTGAACATCATTCCAAGTATCTTAAGATATTTCTACATCTTTTCTGTGTTATCATCATTGGCATGAACTGCCTCATGTATTCACTTTTACTCACTATAGACCAATTATCTACAAATCCTAGAAGTGGAGTAATTAGACAAAATGATGTATACATTTTAAGACTCGGCACATATTGTCAAAACTAATCTCCCAAAAGATTACGCCAATTGATTCTCTGACAAATATTCTGTTGAAATTTCCTCTGTGGTCAAACTCTTACAAATATTGGAAATTAATAATTTGTAAAAGGATAAATGTGACCATTATGTATACCTAAATTGTACCAGTAATAGTTAAATTTTTAAAAGGTTCACTTTTGTCTGTGAGGGGATGGAAACCTTATCTGACTGCATGTGTCAAGAAAGGCTTAGAAATATTGGATCATGCACTGGAGTTAAACGAATACAAAATAGGACTTCCCTGAATGTCTCTCATAACTTTGACATAGATCCTTCAAAGTTTTACAAAATATACTTTGTTGGAATGGAAGGAAGTCTGGAATATTAAAACAAGGAAGATATAAACTTGAATTTTAGCAAGGTTGGCACTGAAAAGAGTGTGCTATTATCTTAGGAGCTGCTACTCTCTCTGTTTTGATGCTTTTCTTTCTTGAGATCACTATACTTTTAAAAGGGTGAAATCTTTTTACCACTAGTGGACATGCATTTAAAAATGGAGAGAAACACTGCTATTTTTCAAGAATGGGTCACAGAGTGAAGCACAGCAATGAGGTTGCTTTTTCAGGGCTCATACTAAGCCTGGTTTGTAAGCAGTGATCCCATTCATAGCCACTCAGTCCTTCTCTTACACAGAGCTACCACATTGGTCAACCTTTATAGGCAACAACTGAAAAAGCCTTTACTACTTATGAGAAACTATGATTGTCCTTTTCTAGCATGGGGTAGGGGCTTTGCAGAGAGATTTTGAGTTAGCATGCAAAACCACTGTGGTTACTAAAATCTGTTATATTACTTTAATTTCTCATTTTTTTATTGTTTTATAAAAGTTACTCTCTATTCTGTGGACATAAAAGTCTTTCTTTGAATTCAGGCAGCTCTCCTTAGAGAAGTACCCATACCTAACTGATATTGCCAGAAGGGGTTGACACAGAATGCCAGCTTGAATAGAATGATAGAAGAGAATGGGCCAAAACTTGACTCTCACCTTTTTTAAGCCTAAACCTGCTTCAGTTATTACCACTCAACTTCCCCACAACAAAAATTTACCCAAATTACCTCGCCCATAAAGTCAAGGTTCTTCAAGTCATTGTCTGTAAAATGATAGCCTTGCAGAAGGAGGGAGATGATGTAGGCACCCGAAAAGCAGTATTCACTCAGATACTTCTCTTTCACGTCAGGAAAAGATGTTCTTATCTAGAAGTAAAGTGAAAGGAATATCACACTTGCATGAGAGGTATCTCTTGACAGTTGCTATGGATTAGACTTGCAATGCGGCTCCCACCCGAGCCATGCACCAGTTTGCTTGTCAACTGATGATACTACTAGGAGATAGCAGAACCTTTAGGAGGTGAGGCCTAGTTAGAGGAAGTGGTGCTTTGGGGTGTACTCCTGAAGGCCATATCTTGTTCCCAACCCTTTTTTTCCCCTCTTCACTTCCTGGCTGCATCAAGGAGAGTAGGATTCCTCCATCATATGTTTCCACCATGATCGATGTTTTCACCACAGGTCCAAATACCACCAGGTCAAGCAACCATCAGCTGAAACTATGAACCAAAGTAAATCTTTCCTCCTCTAAGTTGATTCTCTCTGGTATTTTATCATAGAAATCGTGATGTTTTTCATTATTAGACCTGATTAAAGACAGGAGAGAGCCCTGGCTCATGTTCAGCTGAGGCCCAAATTTCCACAAGCTTTGTGAATGGTGCAGCACACTCCAGTGGCTGGTGGGGATTTTAGAGTCTCTGAAAGAAGATTTTCCTCCAAGTTTTCTATGTGATACTGACAGATATTCAAAAAAAACCAGAGTTCCTACGGACTAGTACCTTTTAGAGCTTTCAGTGATTCGAACAGCCCACTGTGGCACATGTGCCATAGGTTTGGCACCACTGGTCTAGCAGGTTCAGAAACAGTTCATTTTAGTATCTCTTCTCATCTCCTAAATTTGGAGTTCCACAATTACTTTAACATATTGAAAGTTGTGCAAAGTATTGTATGAAAGAATTATACTAATATTTGTTTAATCAGAGATTCCTATATGCTCTTGACTTTGGCTCAGAGCCTCTACAAGCATGTTAAGAAAATAATGTCCAAAACTAGTCCCTGGACTGACAGCATCAAAATCTTGTAGGAGCTTTATGATTCTTACTCCAGAACTACCAACTCAGAATTTGCAATTTAATATGATTCTCAGGTGATTTGTATGTACAGTAGTTTCAGAAACACAGCTCTTGAAGTTTTTTTTGTTTGTTTTGAGTTTTTTCCCCTACTGGGAATTGAATCCAGGTCCTTCATGCTAAGCTACACATCCCCAGCCCTTTTTATAGTTTCCACTTGCTAAGTCACTAAATCACCCAGGTGCTATTCTTCTGCCTCAGCCTCCCAGAGTGCTGGAATTACAGGCGTGAACCACCATGTCTGCTGGAACACACCTTAAGAAGCATTTTGCTAATGACTACTGGAAGGGTTGACATCTCACCTTTGATAGATTTTCCTAATTTACTTTTTTTCAAATCTGACTCATGCAAAGTAGTTGTCTTACTGAGTTCTTCATGTGTTTAGTCACCCTACTCTCTGCTGAAGATACTAAGAGCTACCTGTCACTTACCCATTCTAGCTACTGTGAATATACAGCCAGATGTCCACAGCATTTTTTTCTGCTCTCCTACCTTTGATTAGAAGACAACAGCTCAGGACATCTCTACTCAGCCTAGGGTGCTGTTTGTTGTCTGATACCTCAGCCATTGATATAAGCAGTCCCTCTTAAGTATCATAGGTGAATAAGAACTGATATCATGTACTTGGAACTATGCCAGATGTTCATATGTAGTCTCTCCTTGCCCCCCCTTTTTCCTCATCCTTGCTAAGAAACATGCTATCAGTGTCGTGGTTCCATCAGTTAATCTAACATTTCAGCCAGGGTCTCAAAAAATGCAGATAAATAATTTTATAACAATAAATGTCCCTTCATTTTATATACTATATATATATATATATATATATATATATATATTCAACAAATTGGGAATAGAAAGAACCCTAACATAATAGGGGCTATAGAGAGCAGGTGACCCAGGACTCCACCATTACAGACTGAGTCTCTGCCCTCCCTGCACCAATGGCAGACAGGAGGTCCTCACTCAGAAGCCCCAGGGACTTCTCTGGCTGGAGGGGGGGCGCGTGTTGCCCCTCCCTGCCTGCCCTGCGCTGAGTGAGCAAGTGCTGCAAGAGCTGCTGGTCCGGTGGTTTGAGTCCATGCTTTACTCACACTGCCACTGTTCCCAGCTGAAACTCGTGGAGAGAGCCAGGTATTTCCCGTCTACTTACTGGGGGCAGAGGGGGGACCCAGGACACTGCTACCATTACAGACTGAGTCTCTGCCCTCGGACACCCGTAGCAGACAGGAGGTCCTCACTCAGAAGCCCCAGGGACTTCTCTGGCTTGGGAGGTGGAGCACGTGTCGCCCCTCCCTACATGCCCTGCGCCGATTGAGTGAGTGCTCCCAGAGCTGCTGGTCCCGTGGATCGAGTCCATGCTTTACTTTTGCCTGGATCTCAAGGGGGTCGCAGGCAGGGACAGTCTGTGATTGCTGCCTGTTCGGCACACATCTGGTTCCTGTATGTGTCCTGAACTGACTGGAGACACAGAATCAGGTAGTTCACAAACTGTAGACCCTGCAGTTTGTGTCTGGGTTTTGCCTGTACCCTGAATTGCCTGGGAACATAGGTTCACTGGACCGGGATTATCACACCAGTGCCACCCAAGTCTGGGCCATGCACATGCACTGAACTGCAAGGGGATGCTGGATCAGACAGTCATCCATCAGCTGACACCAAGGCCCGCCTGAGACCTAGGATAACTAGATACAAATCAACAATTGCTGGAAAACAAAGACTAAGTAGCGCTTCTCAGAGGTCACTCAGGGGCAAACCTGACCAACAGGAAAACTAGGGACACTAGTGGCCTTTGCTGTGCAGCTACTGAAGAGGGAAACTGAGCTTTCTGCAACCGGTAGCAAACATGACAAAACAAAGGACTAAAACACAATCCCAGAACTCCACCCCACTCAGAACAAGTCCCAGAGACACTGATATAGGAGAACTCGGGAAACACATGTCTGAAATAGCTGCAATGATTGCAAAGGAAGTAAAGAAACAACTCCATAAGCCCATAGAAGAGATGAGATCAGAAATAATCTCTCAGGTGAAAAATGAAATGACAATAATAATGAAGGAACTGCTCAAAAAGTCTGAAGAAGAAACATATAAGAAAATAGAAAAACAAAGGCAATGGACAGAAGCGTTAAATGAAAAATATAAAAAGGACTTAGAATGCATGAACCAGACTCAGGAGGCTTTCAGGAAAACAAAAAAACTGCTATTGAAAGCTATCAAAACCGCTTGAACAAAGCTGAAGATAGAATCTCAGACTTTGAAGACAGCATGGCAGCTAGCAACCGTGAAAGAAAGGATCTTGTAAAATGAAAAAGGATCCAGGAAAAGTCAATTCAACAGCTGCAAGATGGGGCAAGGAGGAATAATGTACGAATTATAGGAGGCAATACAACTGACATAAAAAGATTATTTGCAGAAATAATAGCAAAAAATTTCCCAAGCATGGAAACAGAACCTGATATACAGGGAAATGAGGCATATAGAACTCCAGCCAACCACAACCAAAATAAAACTACACCCAGACATATAATAGTCAAGTTCCCAGATCTCCAGCAAAAGAACAGAATATTAAAAGCTGCTAGAGAAAAGAAACAGATTACCTATAAAGGAAAGCCCATCAGAATCACGGCAGACTTCTCAGCACAAATCATCCAATCGAGAAGAGCTTGGAGCAAAGTATTAGAGGTCCTAAGACAGAACAGCTTCCAACCAAGACTGATATACCCTGCCAAACTATCCCTCAAATTCAATGGAGAAATAAAATATTTTCACGACAAAGAACAATTGAAGAACTTCATGAGTACCAAGCAAGCATTATAAAGACTACTAAAAGATATTCTAGACAGAGAAAAAATTGACCGCAATATCAAGAACAACAGTAGAAATGAAATGTCAAGAAGAACAAGTAAGTAAACGGGCAGAAAAACTAGGTAACCAATGCAAGTAAATAATATGACAATGATAAGTCAACACATATCAGTTATAACTATAAATGTAAATGGCCTCAATTCTCCAGTCAAAAGAAACAGACTGGCAGAGTGGATTAAAAAACAAAATCCAAT